AATTTTCATTTCAAACACCTGCTCTCCAAATTGAGCGATGAAAATGTTCAAATTCATAAAATTCAACCGACTTCGGAACTTTAAGCCGGCAAACCAATTTGACCAAAATGAAGCTACTCTAAAATCGCTTTTCTGCGCAAACTTTGTCGCCCATGTCTCTTGGTGACTTCTAATTTGAAGAATGAAAAAGGTAGAATCGAGAAAAAGTTTTGAAACTGCAGAAATCGGCTCACGATCAGAGATCGAATCGATGAACCGAGAAACCCTAATCACGCAAGAGTCACTCTTGCGACCAAGCTTTGTTTTTTTCTTCCAGATCAAAGATTTGGATGATTTTCGAAACTCTCTCTCTTTCTTGTGTAGGTTATTAGCCCACAAGAGAAAACTTAAGAGATCCAGTCATCTGCCTACAAATCTATTAATCGGTCTTTTGATCAACGTTTTGTCTGGTTAATTCTTTGTTAACTGGTTATTTTTGCACTTTCTTGCTTTAATAATTACCATTTAAAGCTGAGCTTCGAGCTTTGCCGGGCTTTGTCTGCACTCTTTACCTAAAAAAATAACAATAAACAAAAATCAATTAAGTCAAGGGTTCGAATCCGCACCCGGTCAAAGATTTTGCTTTTTTTACAAAAAGCTCAAATAGAATAGAAATATACATAATAGAAATATACAATATACCTATATACTAGATTATCGCATTATACAATTACAAATACTTAATGGCTCAGGGAAACTACAAGTTTGTTATTGCTACAAGATTGTTTAAATTTGTTTCTGATTTCTTTAAGTCTTTTCCTAGTAAAAACCAGTGAAGAAAATTCGAGAGATTAATATCGATTTCTATGATTCGACTATTCACATCAATTTCTACTCAACTCATTGGTGATTTTTTTTTCCTTGAAAGGCTTTTGTTGAGAAATGACCCTGACTGCTCGTCACTTTACATTCTCTCTTCCTCATGGCTGCTAGACAAAAAGAGGAAATGAAGAACCCCACGTACATGTTAGCTGGTGTTGAACTATAGATTTAGGTTCCTTTTAACCTGAACTGTTCAAAAATGTATAAAGTTTAAGTTTAAGTTTCGGGAGCCATCTCAATGATCTACTGTATATAAAAGAGCATTGTCTGTCCGTCCGTCGGTCTGTCCCGCTTTTCCTCAGCCATCTTTCAGCCAAAAAACTTAAATTTTTTTAAATGTCTGAAAATATAATGTAGTTGTATTATATAAAATAAAAAATAAATGATTCCAATTTTAGTTGGAGTACAAGGGGTCGAGCCCGAGTCATGTGAGCCGCAGACGAGCGCGCCCCCGACTGCCTGCGGCACGGTGATACAACGCCCAGCCGGAAAGTCATTAGATGCTTTTTCTGATATTTGACATTACGGCGTTCTCTGTAAACGCTTACAATCGCGCTCTTTCTGGCACACTCCCCCTGGGCTGGATCAATAAAAAGAAGGTCTTCCTCAATGGTCACATTGGTCCGGAGCTAGAGGGTTAACAAAAAAATTTGTTTCGCTGCCTCTAGCAACACTTGACCACAATTTTTTTTGCTTTTTTGATGTGGATAGACAGATACAAGTCGGGTGTAACTTTTAGAACTAATTTGATAGTTTTTGAACAAAAAGCCACTAATTTTAATGGTCAAAGATACTAATTATGTATCGAGAAAGTTATCATAGAAAGTCTCCGTGATGAATGATTTAAATGACGAATGAATCTGCATCTTCTGCTTCTGAAAGACTTATGAAGACAATCCAAGCCTAAGGTCGTGGCTGGCTGATTACTAATTATTATTGTTCTATTGTTGCATATTTTTATGCGTTATCTAAAGGAATAAACTTTGATCTGAATAACTAGAAATCCATCAAATATCGTAAATATGAGGTCGCAGTGGCAGGTAGACGTAGTATTATAGATGGACTTATGCATATTATATATCATTTGGAAGATGCGAATCTTTTCTTCAAAAGGGCTAATAAGTTTCCGAATTTATCTAAAAGTTTAGATGAATTACATCCGAAGTTCCAATTCATAGACTAATAAAATGAATAGCTCCAATCCTCAAGCCAATCCTCCCATTCCCCGACCTACTGAAAACCCCCGGGTACAAATTTACAGCTGAATATCTTCTTTTCTCGACTTCTTGTTTTCCTTTACTGCGACAATGAGTTTGAAGATTTTGTCGAGTTCTTGGTGCCAAAAGGGACCGATTTCCTACTTTCTTGTTGAATTGCATGTCTTCTTGGTTAATGAAATCAAAGTTTGATACAGATGTTGAACTTTGACATGTAATCCTTGAGTGAATGTTTTGTGCATATTCTACCGTAGTCGTTGGTGCTGCCTAAAAGGTGCTCATTTGTGGGTATGAAAAGGAAGCATTTGAAAAATTTTCATTCTTTTAGTTTAGTTCCATTAGCAGTTCAATTGACATTCCGAGCTTTTCCTTTGCTCCTTCCATCTGGGAAGTTTCCACAAATATGACAATGCTTAAGTAAAAGTTCCAATTGGGACAATTCGACGATACCAAGTGAAGGTTTTTTGAAAATAGCCTACTCTTTATCAGAATCCATACCTGAAAGTGATTTTTCAGCCGAGCTGCAGATGAAGAGTGTCCTTCCGCCACGTTTGAATCGGTTAAAACCCGCTATAAATCTTCGGCCGATTTGTTCTTGGTGCTAGCAAGTTGTTTGGTTCTAGCATTTGAAACATTATGATGATTACCTGAAAAAAAGAATTTCCACTCAGAACCGGCCGCGATTGTCACACCCCCTTTACGATTTTAATAGGGAGCTCGGCCGGGAGCGGGGCTCTGAATCATCATTTTGCCAGCTATTGAATCTCTTTATCGTACTGTCTGCAATGTTTTAACCAAAGTAGATAAAATATCATAACATTTGCATACCTCGACAGTCTCTTAAATAAATGTATGGCTCATGGACAACTGGCTAATAGAGAAGAACTGAATATCTTAAACTAAACTAGGTGTTCTCCCGGAGTATTTTCGCTCTGAATTTTTCTGGACTCGGCAACCGCGTTAAGCTGAATAATTTAAAGCACTTGGTTTAAATTTGACTATCTAGCATACAAACCTTTGATTGAATTTTTGATAGAATTCTTGAATCGAACTTTCAGTGTTTTGCGACACTCCGTTCAGTCATTTGCGTTGATTTTTGGGGTTTGGAGAAGTTGTTATCGGCTTCCAGCACCTTTTTGCTATTTATGGGGGTCGGGGCACTCGTAGGATCACCGATTGTCGGTGGGTTTGGCAGAAATTGCGTTTGAAATAAAAAGAGGAATTGCAGGCTTCAGCTTGGAAAGAATCGTCTTCGACTTCTCAAACAGGCGAACGATCTTGTGATGAATTTTGGATGGTCTTGTGATTTCTTCAACGAAAAAAGCACAATGTTCCGAATTCGTTTTCTTTTCATTTCACAAAAGATTTTAAAACTTTATTTTGGATAAATGAAAAGCAGCAAAATATAGCAGATAAAAGACCAATAATCTGTCAATTTAAAAAATGGAAATAATGATAGAAAGCGACAAAAAGATACAACGAATCATCAAAGAGTGATTTTAATAATTTTAATCGATGGGGACGTAGAAGGCCAAGAAGCAATTAGTATCGACGTCGTCGTCGTCGTAGTACATGTAGATGCAGTCTTTGGTTGAATCAAAACGTCGACGGAAAATTGAACTTTCTTCCCCGAAGCAATCAAAATCAGCATATTCAAAATTCATCACAAGATCGTTCGCCTTTTTGAGAAGCCGATGACGATTCTCTCCATCTATTCGTCGCACTCCTGAATATTGTGAGGGATCCATCTTCCAACCTGACGATTTGAAGACATCTGACTCAAGCAAAAATGCAGCCTCAGGGTTCTTGCTCGGGATTCCTTTGGTGATGATCTGTTGAATGAGCAAATCAATGCAACGCGATGACTTAATAATCATAGCAACGTTTTTGATTTCAGCCTTCGACAAGGCGTTGTAGCAAAAGCGAACTGAATCTTCAGTATGACACTCAAACCAAATCTTCTCGCAATCCTTGAGTTGAGGTCCCACCATAAAATTCTCGATCCGATCTTTGATCACTTGATCATTGAAAGCACTGGAGTCGATTCTCAGGAATGCATCTTTCTTGATCGATGCGTGGAAATTTGAGAAGAATCTCTCCAGGGTTTCTTTAGAAGTCGAAATCAGATCTAATCGATTCACCGACTTCAAATTCTTCAGAAGTGTAGTTCGTTCTTCAAATTCTTCGTTGAATTGATAAGGCTTCCAGAACAACAAGAGTTCGCACGATCGAATCTTCTTAACGAAAGCAAAGTGAAAAAAGGGACGATCGAAATTGAGCTTCATTGCATTTGAATTCGAAAATTTGTTGATCCTAATCTCCTCACGTTCGAATTGAATACAATCAACGTGCTCTCCAAAAACGATCCACGGACGCCTCACGAGCATCCCTTGGAAACCTTGATTCACTTTCGTCAACTCTACAACATCCCTTAGTTTCATTTGTTCCACCACTTCCAATTTCAAATCGAAGCACAACTTCTCCATTGGAAATGACCTCAAATTCTTCATTTCGATCGACGCCATTAAACCTATAAACAAAAACATTCGACTTTGTTTTGACATAAAGAGGTGATTTACAGATAACGGAAATGTTAGTAAATAGTGAATTTGGCTTGGGATAGCCAGGCCATAAAGACCCAAAAAAGTTAAGGCTTGAAAAAAGTCAATCAATCGAGAAATCGACAACTGCTTCAAACAGTAACTTCAACATCGAACAATATTCTTGAAATTTATTCCAAGTAACAACGATAACGAGAAAAGCTAGCAAAAGACAACAACATTCTAATCGGTCAAGATTTATAAATCTGAACAATCAAAAAATTATAACATTAAGCATCCGCATCAATCCCTTCACCCACGCGACACGTAGATAGCCAAAAACTACTGGCCGAAAGTATCTTTTATCGCAACTGTAGTCTTATTTATCATGTAGATGGAATCTCTCGCCGATATTCCGTCGAATGACGGAGTTGGGATTCTTGTTGAGAATTCCGTATTTGACAATCCGTTGAAAAAGCAATTCAGCATTGCAGACAAGGGTGATCAAATTGACATGAGTCTTCACCCGATACAAATTTCACAAACAACCAACTCTTGAACGAACTGGACAAACTCCGGGCGAGTAGCCGACATCTTTTGTTAAAATCTGCGATTGTGGCGGGAGTGGTGACGGTCGCATTGGAGGAGGCTGAAATTTAAACTACAACTCAACCCCAATTATATAATACCCCGCGATAAATTGCGCCGAATCCAATTGGATAGCCACCAAATCCAAACTGCCGCCTTAGTGATGGCATTTCGAGAAGTCCTGACTTACATTGCCGAACAATACAGGAATCGATACGGCGATCTTCGATCACTTGACTTGGTAACCAGACGATCGATCATGATGATGGCTAAACGAAAAAGGTTGTTCTGTCTACAATACTGATTCATCCTATTGCGATTACAAAGCATTCATCGCACCCCTTTTGAAAACCCCTTCGGTCGCGTCTAATAGTTTTTTCGATCTCTCGATTTTGATCTCTTCATGCTTCCTAGGCTTCGCGAGTCGCTTCTTTCACGTCCCCTCTCATCAAAGAAGTATCCATCAATCCGAAATTCTTTCACATTCAAATGAAGCGGATCCTCTCTACCCTGTGTATCTTTCGACTTCATCGCTTTGACGACCCATCCAGGCTCTAGCTCTGAGGCATTCAGTGAAGCCAACTAAAAACTTAATTATAAACTGAAATCCAGTGAAATGAGTTCAAAAACTCCTCACCGATAAGCTATTCGAGTTGTTCTTGTTGACCGACAAAACATCCAAATTTGGTGATTTCAAGCTTTGCATGCTGTTATGATTGGTGCTGATGCCGCTCGTGGAGACAGCTGATGTAGAAATATTTATCGATTGTGACGACGTTTGCTGGCCAATGCTTTGTGCTGGGTTTTCTTTATTGAATTGGAGCACAACAATAATATGAGAGCCGAAGTATCGCAAGGTATCGATTTTACCTAAAAATAAAGTGTAATGAGACCATTGATTCATTTGAAAATTAAATTGTCTTGTGTTCAAATCAAGCTCAAACATCTGCCAGTGCTACCTAGAGTGCGTTTTATTCAAATATAATGCCTTACTAGAGCATTAAAAGAGTCAATTACCAAGATTCGAGTCAACCTTTAATCAACCCATTCAAAAACTGACGATTCATCTCGCGTTGTATTGCCGCTGAAATTCGTTGAGTGCCTTCATGCCAATCAACGCCGATGACCCACTGTACTAAATTTAAGGGATTAATGCCCATTAATTTAACTAATAGACGTTTCAAACATTCAACTGTTTCAGAGCATTCCGTTCGGTGATGGATCATTGCGTCGCTGGTGAAGATTTCAAGAGAACATCGCGAACACCGGTATTTGACCATCTTTAAATTTTAAAATTTAGTCCTTTAGCAATCTTTGACGGAGAGGAACTAAAGTTAACAAAACAAAACGCATATAACTTTTTGTTTCGATTCTTTTTTGTCGTTTACATTAATGGAAACATTCAAAACATCTCAAATAGATCATTTTAAAGCAAAGCTTTTAAAACAAACCCCAAAAGCCCACCCAAATGAGTCACCATGTGCTCCTCCAAGTGTTGCGTGTCGAGGTGGCAAAGGGTGCATACGTAACGAAAATGTGCATGTGCAGAAGTCGTCTCCATACCCGGAAAAAAGTTTGAGAACCTTCCAACAAAACAAGTGATTCAAATCGAATAAACAAGTAAAAGGAGCCAAAACTCAAGAAAGTGCTAAGGATTTGTTCCACTACAGCTTATTCGCGCTAAGCTTTTAAACTCCCAGATAGTTCTGGGAGTTCAAAATACCATTCAATAGCAAATTTTTTGCGCATAAGCCATTGGGGGAAGCATAATAAGTGGCGAGGAAATCTACAACGTGTAAAGGGGGAGAGTACTCCCCTTGCAGTGTCCCCCTAGGTTACAGTTGAAATATTTTCGGGGTTTTTTCTGACCAACCCATGCTAAAATTAAAAGCAATAAATTAGAATTGAATGCCCGTATTTTACAAAAAAAGTAACAGAAAAGACCCACATGGAACCAAGATATAAAGTCAAGAAGAAAGAAAAGAAGGATACTTCTGACAGTGTCCCCTTTCTTTCTTCCCACCCCCCCATATCTCGACTCCCACTTGATATTTTTAAGTACTTTTTTTTTGCAAAAATACGCATATTTCTTATTTTACCACTTTTGTTTGCCAGATGCGTTCGCAATAAAAAGCCCAAAATCTTGAACCGTACACAAAGGTGTATCACGGGCGACACTTTCGGAGGACCACTCTTCCCCTTTACACCTTGTAGATTTTCTCGCCACCCAATGAGTTTCCCACAATGGCTTATGAATCAAAAGATGCGCAAAAAAATTGCTATTGAATGGCATTTTGAACTCCCAGAATCATCGACTAGTTTTTGAAAATGAGACCAAACGCGGAAAATTCAAAGAGGCGGACATTCCAAATGTACATTTAGAACCGCCAAATGGAAAAAAACAATTTTCTAAAGGCAAAATGTTAAAATCTTCGATCTACCAACTGAATATCATTAAATTTACTTTGCAATGTATAAATCACAGGCACTTTTTGCAAGGAAAAGTGAAAATATTCAGTTAATTAATTGAATAGGTTTAAACTGATTTAATAAAGTATATATAAATGTTCTGCGCAAAAGTTGCAGAGCTGTTCCTGGTGGATGTTTTTGTTAAGTTCCTATTTTTGCTTTGTAAGTATTTCATGATTTTCCTTATAAATGACTAGATCCTTATTAATGGTGAATGTTTAAAGTTAAAGCCGATTTCAAAATTAGCTTGCCCACTTGATAAGTGCTTTAGAAATGATCAAAGTCTAAAAGTATTGCAGAAAGCTTCACCTGTGGCTCCATATTTCTGCCAGTCTCTTTGGGACAAAGTACTACAAATCAAAGAAAGAAATAAATATGCTTCCAAATTCCAAAAACTACTGATTATATGAGTTCCATTAAGAATTAGATTAAGAAAATTTGAAAGCTTTTTCAAGGTTTCAAATAATCCGAAAATTTCGGCAAACAAAGAAAGGGTGCTTCAGGGAAACACTAGAAATCGACTCGCTTTTTGACCAAAAAACAGAGAAAGGTTGATTCAAAAATTTATAAACTATAACAACTTTAAAAAGTTTATTTCCAAAACGACATCAATACTATAAAATTAGCAAGATTTAGCACTTGAAAGATTAGGAAATATGTGTTGTGTTGTGTTGTGTGTTGTGTACAAGTAGTTCCACATTCGGTCACAAAAGTAAAACTAAATCTTATCCTTATCAGTCTTTAACTCCCTCGCCGTACTTTTGCAGTTCCCACACTCGCAACTTTCGCAATGGGATGCAGTTGAGACCTGGAAATGGAGTTTTTTGTATTAGAATGCAAATTTTCGTATTGGTTTCCCATCAAAACGCAGTCAATTCGCATTTTGTGTGATTTTTATTGCTTGGGAGAAACGAACGATATTTTAATTTCTTGAAAAAACGACGTTTTTACAGTATTATTACCCGTTCCATAGTTTATAAATCCTGTATAATATTTGAAATCTATATTTCTCACCCGATAAAGTCATCAAGACGCCCATCGCGTAGAACGATATGTCGAAATTGCCCGACCAGTCCTTGATGGACGCTGAAAATGGGGTTTATAGAAGTCTGTGTTTTTGAAATACGTTGGGATTTTTATTTCAAAGGCAATTTTCATATTGCATTTTTCCAAGCCCACCGGCAATCGGCGATCCGACGAGTGCGCCGACTCCCATAAATAGCAAAATTGTGCCGAAAGCCGATGCCAACTTCTCCAAGCCCCACAAATCAACGCAAATGACGGAACGGAGTGCGGCGAAGCACCCTGAAAGTTCGATTCAAGAATTCTATCAAATTTTGAGTCAAATTTTTTTTCACTTTATTTTCCCAGTGCTAGAAAGGGCCTCAAAGGAGAAAGCTTTGTAAGAAAAGATATACACTGGCAAGATATCGGGACTGTTAATAACTCCAAAAAAGCCATTAGTGAGAATTTACTCTCTTATTAACACATTTATACGATATGTATGTGTTTCATCACACACCAACGCCAAAAAGCAGACACGGGGAAACTCAAAGCGATGAAATGCCAATACTGGGTGAAGAGCGGTACGGCCATTGTCGCCAAACCGGCTAGAATCGACACCCACAACGAATCGACTTTTGGGGTGTCCGAGATTTTTCTGGAAGGCTTTCCAACTTCGTGCAAAGCATAGAATCTCAACTATTCCGGCATTTGGAAACGACGTCAAATTCTTCATTTCGAACGGCATGACTGGCAAATCCTCCATTTTAAACGACCTGACTAGCTTTTACCTGTAAATAAAAGATTATGTAAATTGTAAAAGATTAGACGTTGCTTTGAAATAAAGAGGTGTCCTAATTTCATTATTTCATCAACGGAAACTCTCTAAGCAAATAAGATGATTTAGCTGGGATAGCCAGGCCGTGAAGACCACACAAGTTAAGTATAAGGGGCTTTTAAGAAAAGTCAATCAATCGAGAAATCGTCAACTGACTTCACAGCGGTAGACAGGATTCTACCAAATTATACCTGGCAACGATACAATGAGAAAAGTTACAGCAAAAACAACAACAAAGGCAACAACATTCTAATCTGGCCAAGCTTTCTTTTTTTTACAAGGCGAAAATTTGTGTTCAAATTCGAACAAATCGTAAATACTTTTGGAAATTTACGATTTGTCCGGAAATCCGGCGATCCTAGGAGCCTTTTTGGTTTTTAAAGTGAATGGTCGATGTGACCCAGTGAATTTATTTAGTCAAAAGCGAATTTTCTGATGCTGACTTTTGACTGAATCGTTTCATCAATGTCAAAACTCAAAAGTTCAAAAGATTCAAAAGATTTCGAATGGGTGACGGAAGTCTGGAAGATCTGGGACGAGGACAAACGACGATTTGAAGCAGATAATCCAGAAAGTGATCCGATAAAGACTACATATGAACTTGCGAAATTGCTTAATTGTGATCATAAACACAATCGAAAACCATTTGCATGAATTGGGCAAGCTCAATAAAGCTGGAAAATGGATTCCACATTCACTAAGCGATGCAAGCAAAGCCACCAGAGTTCTTTGTTCAGGAAATTTGCTTAGAATTTCCCGTTAATTTACCTTCTGGACGCCTCGTTGTCTTTCTTCGCCTCGATCTTCATATCCAACTCTTTGCATTGGATCCAATATTCGGGTTTTCACGAAATTTTAGTACTATGCCATCTGTTTTGTTATTGGTTTGTGAATTTCAAAAACATCTACCTTTATCTACCCAATTGAGCTAGGGCAGATTTCCAGAAGCCCATTTATCCTCCCTGGAGCAGGCTACATTAGCGACAGACTTGGTATTTGATTTAAGTAGGTTTCAATTTTATCGGTCCACTTTTAGACCTGGGTCTAGCTCTGACCTCGACCTCTCCTCGGCCCTGACCTGCCTGCCCAGTCTCTTCTTTATTTACTCCTTCCCGCCCTACACTACCTAAAGCTACTAATCCCCATATTTATTTACCCATTTCTCACAAATAACACGCAAAAACATCAGCTATTTCTGTGGAAGGAGGACTTTCGAGCTCGGAACCGAACGGCCGCTTTCACCACCTCACTGCTCCCGGGCAGCTATTTGCTCGTCGGTGAGTCGTAAATGGCTTTTAAATGCAAATTTTGAGAATTTACTGTCCACAAACCCGCAATTTTGAGCGTTTTATGATATTTTTTCGCCTGACTGGCGGCTAGTTGAGCTTTTGTATACGTCAAGCCTTTCTCTATCAATTGGCGGCATTTCACTTTGTCAAAATACACTTGATTAAATGGAAATTTTGAGCATTTTAAAGAAAAAGATGATGTTCATGACCAAAACACTGAATGTTTTTGGTAAATTACAAGCTATTTAGCTAGTATTCTGTGTAGTAATGACGTATATTTACATATATAGTGAACATGATATTTGTCTCAATGGAATTCCTCGACGGATTCCATCGTTCTCTATTTAGCATTTCGTTTCTTGAAACTGTGCCTTGAGTGGCACTGCACTATGAAAATTCACTAGAAATGGGCTTTTTTAGAAACTTGCACTCATTGTTCATTGTAACTTTATTTCTCGAATATGTTTATTTTATTTGTTCTACCATTTAAAACACTTATTAACTGACACAAATTGATCGCATTTTTGTGAGTAGTAAGTCTAGCAACCAGAACTAGTAAGTCCCTAAATAAAATTTGGTGTTGCACAGCAAAGAACATAAAATATTTAATCGTTCTTATTATTTAAAAAAACGTCGAGCATTTCTTATCAGATGAAAGTGATGGATTGATGAAAGAGACTGTTTAATTAAAGGAAAAACAAAAAGTTGCTTCGTTGAAGTTTTTAATATAAAAATTGTCATGGTACTTTTGATAGAGAATGTGATGGGAAAGCTCAATTCCAAATAGACAAGCTCCTAATCTCAAAACAAATTTATAGAAACACAAAGTAGAAGGATTTGTGGTGAAATAAAGGAATTCAAATGTGTGTTTTTTCTGTATACGTGGATTTTGCGCTCCTCGATTCATTCATGACCCCCTATTCGCAAAATCATTAAAAACGCCACAAAAAGACTGAGAATGGCCATCCAACTCTCGGGATTTAAATGTTTTGGATTACAGCATTTAGTTGATCTTGCAGTTGAAGCCTCCACAAGTTACAAGCCTCACACACTAATTTAGTCTTTGAAGAAGCATTTGGAGAAAGCTTGGGACGACATTGGTATGGAGGTGATCAAAAAGGCATATTTTCTGTTTTTGAGAAGTAAATAGCAGAATATCTAAACAAATTCGGAATTCCAGTCGTCTCATTTTGAAATCCCACAACCCTATGCAGCTACTGAACAAACGATCATTTGTTTTAGGTGTGTCGCTTTCCCATTTAGTTGTTCTACACATTTTACGAGGCAGGTCATTTCACGCTTATCAATGACGCAAATGACGCCCAAAAAATGAAAGAAGAGATTCGTTCCGCAAAACGCTGATCATTTAAAACCCACAGCTTCTCTTCGTCAATGGCTGCAGCCATAGCAACAAACTTCTCAATCGGCTTATCGGTTTGAATGTTTAAATTTCCATGTAAAATTCATTACAGCAAAACCCGATTCATCTTCCAATTACCGTTACAGATACTCTGGTCAGTTTTATAATTTTTTCGTTTCAGCAATTTTTTTGCTCAGGCTGACGTTGTCTTTCTTCTCGATACCTCGTCGACAGCTCAACCTTATTTCAATGACGTTAGTTTTGAATTAGTCGGATACAAGGAGCCTTTTAGTACATAAATTTCGTAAAAGTCCTGATGGCCGCCTTTACGGTGAGCCAGACTGGAGTTCGGGTCGGATTGGTGACGGTGCCTGGAAATGCAGAGGCCACATTTCCTGTGGCTGCGCTCGGTCAAATCACGAACACGGTGAGGTTACCAGCATAAAAAAACCGAATTTGCAGCTTTGCGATTCAGCTTTTTTTGTCTAAGACAAAACCAAGACCAAAACCACCATCAAGAACTTTTTCTTGACGATTAAGCCTTATATTCACTTTAAAATTTCAATTACAACGATTTCAGCAACAATTTCACGCATTCTGTTGTGATCGAGCATTAAATTTTGAGTTGGGAAACCGTTTCCATTGGGTTGGCCGTTAAGTAATGAGTCAATGGGTACAGAACTAGTTTGACTCAAAATCAAAGATTTTTTTGACGAGAGAAATTGGACTTCTGTCAGTAAAATGGGCACAATTTGTTGAAAAGGTGGGAACTATTTTGATTGATTCAGATGACTTTATTGCATTTTAATACTCAATCTCCATTTCCAGGTCTCATCTGCATCCCATTGCAGAAGCTGCGAGTGTGGGAATTGCAAAAACACGGCGAGGAGACGGCGAAAACCGTCGAATTGCAGCCGCTGAAGAGTTCAAAAGAGTCTTTGTAGTAAAATATAGATTTGGAAGGTTTTGAAATGGAAAAATTTGGAAGTTTCAGCTTTCAACATCCAAAAACGTTGAGGAAAAATTGCCAAAGGTTTATCGAAAAATTTACCACTTCGGAACGGACTGCCACTTTCACAGCCAATTAGACTTTTAAAAAGTAAGGATAAGATCAAATCGTTTTCTTTTTATTTCACAAAAGATTTTAAGACTTTATTTTGAATAATTCAAGGCAATAAAATACAAACAGATACAACACCAAAAATCTGTCAATTCAAAAAATGGAAACAATGATAGAAACCGACAAAAATATACAATGAATCGAATCATCAAAGAGCGCTTTTAATCATTCTAATTGACGGGGACGTAAAAGGCCAAGAAGTCCGTATATTCATTCAAGAAGGTATCAGTATAGTATTTGTACATGCAGATGCAGTCCTTGCCTGAATCGAAGCGTTGACGGAATATTGAGCTTTCTTCCGTGAAGAAACGAAAACCACGAGAATCAGAACATCCAAAAATCATCACAAGATCGTTCGCCTGTTTCAGAAGTCGAAGACGATTCTCTCCATCGATTCGTCGCATTCCTGGATATTGTGAGAGATCCATCGGGATGTCATCTGAATCAAGGAAAATAGCAGCCTCAGGGTTCTTGCTCGGGATTCCATTGGTGATGATCTGTTGAATAATCAAATCCATCCAACCCGAGGTACGCATATAAACGTTTTTGATTTCAGACTTCAACAAGGCGTTGTAGCAAAAGCGAAATGCCTCTTCAGTCAAATACATAAACGAAATCTTCCCGCAATCCTTGAGTTGAGCTCCCATCATAAAATTCTCGATCCAATCTTTGATCACTTGATCATTTAAAGCACTGGACTCGATTTTCAGTAATGCATCTTTCTTGATCGATGCGTGGAAAGTTGAGAAGAATATCTCCAGGGCTTTTTTTGAATTCCATCCCAGCTGCAATCGATTTACCGACTTCAAATTCTTCAGAAGTGTGTATTTCTTGTTGTCGTTATTCATCCAGAACGATAAGCAATCGCGAACGAACTTGTCGACTGGATGATTCATCTCAAACGACAATTGGTCGCACGTTCGAATCTTCTTGATGAAAGAAAAGTGAAAGGGATGATCGACATTGGCCATTGGATATGAATTCGGAAATTTGTCGATCCAAATCGTGTCATTGAATAATCGAATCCGATAGACGTGCTCTCCAAAAACGATCGACGGATTCCTCACGAGCATCCCTTGGAATCCTTGATTCACCTTCGCCAACTCATACACATCCCTTGGTTCCATTTGTTCCAACGCTTCTAACTTCAAATCGAAACACAACTTCTCCATTGGAAATGACCTCAAATTCTTCATTTCGATTGACGTGATTCTTCCACCTATAAATAAAAAGATTAGACTTGGTTTTGACATAAAGAGGCGCTTTACGGAATAAAGGAAATGTTAGGAAATAGTGAAATTGAGATACAAAGCTGGAATAAGTCACAAATAAGTCAATCCATCAAGAAACTGCTTCAAACAGTAACTTCATCATCCAACAACATTTTATAAATTTATTCCAAGTAACAACGATAACGAGAAAAGCTAGCAAAACATAACAGAAAAGTACTAAGGCATTCGGGGGAGCCCTTGAAATTTGCTCAATAGTAGTTTTTCTAGGGTAATTGATGGCCTTGATCACGAAAAACATTTTTAAGTCATGTTTTCAATTAAAAACTTATGTGCCTCTGCGGTGCGGAGCCAAGTCCTAGGAAATATAGGGACATGCAGCCTTTTCAAAACAAAGAAAGTTAATCCAGTACATGTTTTTTAGTTAAAACATAACTGAAAAATGTTTTTTTCGTGGTCAACGCGGGTCATGTGTAGAGGACGGCTACACAGATGTCGGCTAAACCACATACTAAACAAAAGTTGTACAGTGTAGCCCAAGTTCAATGGAGCATTTTAAATTGCCCTCAAATCTTCCAAAACTACCCACAAAATAGTCCATCCACTCGGTCACCCAACATTCGACACAATGAAAAATCGTCGACGAGAACCTAAAGGCAAAACATTGTGATTGAAATTTTAAACGCCAACCAAGCCATCATTTCGACAACAGCGTATCCCCGCTAGATTCGTTTCTCTTATATATTAGATTGGCAAGTTAGAAACGATCGTTTTTTTGGTAATGTGTTTTCTGAAAGAACGGCTTATGCAATCAAAAAACGGTTTGCTTGATTCAAAAGCCCTATCCTTAATCTACAAAATGGCTTTTTTGAATCTTTGAAAAATGTTATATTTTGGAACTTTTTCAGGCATTTTAATGTAAGAGTTCAAAATCCTGGTTTCTAGCATTCATGAGCTAATATATTTTTGAGTGATCGCATACTTTTAAAAAAAACGCTTCATTGATTACATAGTTTCCCAAAATTTCAGAACAATCCAATCCTCGGAAGGTTGATTTTCAAATTAGGCTCAAAATGCACGTTTGTGCTAATTTAATCCATTTTCGCTTGAATTTAAACAAGATTAAGAAAAAAAGATTAAAAGAAAAAGAACGGTTCGATCGATTGGATTGTTCTGAAATTTTGGGAAACTATGTAATCGATGAAGCGTTTTATTTTAAAAAGCATGCAAGCACTCAAAAATATATTAGCTCATGAATGCTAGAAACCAGGATTTTGAACTCTTACATTAAAATGCCTGAAAAAGTTCCAAAATATAACATTTTTCAAAGATTCAAAAAAGCCATTTTGTAGATTAAGGATAGGGCTTTTGAATCAAGCAAACCGTTTTTTGATTGCATAAGCCGTTCTTTCAGAAAACACATTACCAAAAAAACGATCGTTTCTAACTTGCCAACCAAATATTTGATAGCCAGCCAAGTTGTTGCCAAAAGAGATACGTCGTGACGAAGTCGAGAAAAGAGAAGATAGCCGATGTTGGTTCCTGAAACAAAAAGTAAAATAAGAAACACTTGTTGGCACCTGAATGACGATTGTCCTGAGTTGGGTCGCGGCGAGCGGCCATTCTCTGTGAAATTTTCCTGGCGAGTTGCCAGGTTGGGTGATTCGAATGGTCGCATTAGTGGCCTACATGCAGTCGTATTTACTCCTAAATAAGATATATGCGTGTCAAATAAAAAAACTCACCAAAAACATGGCTGCCTGCTCCAACCGGGCTCGCTCAATCGTTATGGGCCATCGTGCACTTTTCGGCATCGTGAAGTGCATTCGTGGTAGTGTGGCTAAATTTCAAAGACGCGAATAATGCAATGGTTTTAAGCAATCTTTGTCAAAACTCTCTTTGTTCCACGATAATTTGAACTCTGAGGGGTTTACAGGCCTGATACTGCTGAAAAGAGTCTATATTTTGAGTGATAACGTGGTTTTGCCACTTCTAAGCGCGCAAAGTCGAGCATAACACCACTTCTGGCAACCATAAGCCTACTTCTAGCAGCCAGAAAGCAGCGCAGATCTACCCCTACGTTTTCCTAATTAGGCTTAACCACTTACATTCCAATCCCCGAGTGACCCATTAGTTGAATCGATGAAGAGAAGCGAAAACGCCGAGCAAGGCGGTGATCGACGACGGAAGATAGCGACCCGACATAAATGAACGAGTGATAGCCATAAAAAGGACATTGTATGCGTTGAAAGGACATCGAAAGAATGCAAAAATTGAGAAGCAAAAATAGCAACTTAGCAAAAACAACCGCCAAAAGCAGCTCCGAAAACATTATGGCAATTTTTGCGCAAAACATTTATTTATACCTTCTTAAGCCAGTAAGCTTCTTACAGGACTCTAGCAGGTATTAATTGGATAGTTACATTAATGGAAAGACTCAAAACATCTTAAATGGATCATTTTAAAGTAAAGGTTTTAAGAAAAATCCCGAAAAACTCACTCCATGAGTCACCGGGGTGTGTCCCTTTAAATGATGCGTGTCGAGGTTGCCGAGGTGGCTAAAGGTGCATGTGTAATGCCAAGGTGCATCTGTAGAAGTCGCCTCCATAACTGGAAAAAAATTTGAGAATTTTTCAACAAAACAAGTAATTCAAACTGAAGCAACAAGTAAACGGGCCCAAAACGCAACAAGATTTTAAGAATTTGTTCAACGGCTTATTGAGGCTAAACTTTTCTTTCGACGGCTCCAGCTCAAGAACACACGTTTTCGAGCATTTTAAAGACAAATATCATCTTCACGATCAAAATACTAATTGTTTTTGATAATTTACAAGCTATTTAGCTAATATTCTGTGTAGTAATAACACATACTAGAGTTAGGTTGGTTTCCTCGAAAAAACGCGTCAACACGGAAACCGATCTTTGGCTTGACTTCATGTCGCCGAAAAGCTCGCCTATTGTATTCCCATTTGCGCCTTTGGTCATTGACATCACCGTAAAGTTTCATGTCTTGCGCATAAATAGGACAAGCTCGCCTAAATGGTGAAGCAGCCTTAAATCGGTAAGCCAACCCTCAAAATGGCCATCGGATTGATCAAGCTTTCTCGACAGTTCATGGAGCGTAATGCCTCCAATAGATTGTAAAGCATTCATTTGTAACAATTCGTTAGCAAATGATGCACCAAGTGCACTAGCACCAAACTCTTGGACATACATGAACGCGATTTAGAATCGCCAAATAGCAAAAGTACGACAGTTTGCGAAAGGCAAAATGTTAAAATATTCAGTCTATCTTAAAATATTAAGTTTCCCTCAATGGCTTATAAATCAAAAATGCGCAAAAAAAATTGCTATTGAATGGTATTTTGAACAGCCAGAACCATCAACTAGTTTTTGAAAATGAGACCAAAGGGCGAAAATTCAGAGAGGGGACATTCCAAACCTACATTTAGAATCGCAAATGGCAAAAACAATTTCCTAAAGGCAAGGTGTTAAAATATTCAGTCTATCAATTGAATATCATTAAACTTACTTTCCAATGTATAAACGGCAGACACTTCCTGCAAAGAATAGTGAAAATATTCAGTTAATTAAATGAATAGGTTTAAACTGGCTCATGGTCATGGACAAAAATCTTTTAGTGTTGGTTTTCCGAAGTTTGTTTTTCGTATATCTTGGTCCAAATTCGACCAATTTGCAAACGGTTGAAAGATTTAAAGAGCTTATTATCACTAGTTTTAGCATTAGCAAAACGATGGATTCAATGATTTATAATATGTCATGAGCCTTTTAAATAACAAAAATTTAGCCAAGCGCTGCCCCGAGCGCTGCCCACGCCTCTTCGAACATGCAGCGGCCTGGAAATAAGGATTTGTTCACGAAAACACAAGAAGAACATTCAAAAACTAATGGATAATTCTAAAAATAGAAGTTAAGGAAATTCTACAGAAGTGCAAAAGTGTTTACTAGAAGTAGGCTCATGGTTGCCAGAAGTGGTGTTATGCTCGATTTTGCGCTTTTAGAAGTGGCAAAACCACGTTAGCACTAAAAATATTGTATCTTTTAAGCAGTATCAGGCCAGTTAACCCCTCAGAGTTCGAATTATCATGGACCAAAGAGAGTTTAGACAAAGATTGCTTAAAACCATTGCATTATTCGCGTCTTTAAAACTTAGACACACTACGGCTAATGCACTTCACGATGCCGAAAAGAAGCCTACAGCGATTGAACGAGCCCAGTTGCGGGAGGCAACAATGTTCAGGGTGAGTTTTTTATTTGAAACGCATAACTAATCATCTCATTTAGATGCAAATACGACTGCAAATGGGCCACTGATGCGATCATTCGAGTCCCTCAACCACACAACTCGCCAGCGGAATTTGCCGGAAAATGGAGCCCGCCGCCATCCAACTTAGGGGAATCGTGATTCAAGTGCGAACAAGTGTTTTTTATTTCTCATTTTACTTTTTGTTGCAGGAACCAACATCGGCTATCTTCTCTTTTCTCAACTTCGTCGCGACATATCTTTTTTGGCCACAACTTGGCTGGCGATCAAATGTGCAAAAGAAACAAATCTAACGCGGATACGCTGTTGTCGAAATGATGGCTTGGTTGGCGTTTAAAGTTTAAATCAAAATGTTTTGGTTTTTGGTGCTTGTCGAGGATTTTCCATTGTGTCGATTGTTGGGTGACCGAGTGGTTGGACTATTTTGTGGGTACTTTTGTGAGATTTGACGGCAATTGAAAATGATCCATTAAACTTGGGCTACACTGTACAACTTTTTGTTTAGTATGTAATTTCGCCGACATCAGTGTGGCCGTCTTCTACACATTACCCGCGTTGATCACGACAAAAACATTTTTCAGTCATGTTTTCAATTAAAAAACGTGTGCTGGATCAACTTTCTTTGTTTTAAAAAAACTGCATGTCCCTATATTTCCTAGGCTCTTGGCTCCGCACCACAGAGGCCAATAATTGAAAACATGACTTAAAAATATTTTTCGTGATCAGCGCCATCCATTACCCTAGGAAAACTATATTTGAGCAAATTTCAAGTGCTCCCCCAACTGCCTTAGTACCTTTTCGTTATGTTTTGCTAGCTTTTCTCGTTATCGTTGTTACTTTGAATAAATTTATAAAATATTGTTCGATGATGAAGTTACTGTTTGAAGCATTTGTCGATTTCTTGATTGTTTGACTTATTCCAGCTTTATTTGTATGTCAGTTTCACTATTTCCCGAACTTTTCCATTATCCGTAAAGCACCTCTTTATGTCAAAATAAAGTCTAATCTTTTATTTATAGGTGGAAGAATTGCATCAATCAAAATGAAGAATTTGAGGTCATTTCCAATGCAGAAGTTGAGCTTCGATTTGAAGTTAGAAGTGTTGGAACAAATGGGACCAAGGGATGTGTATGAGTTGGCGAAGGTGAATCAAGGGTTCCAAGGGATGCTCGTGAGGGATCCTTCGATCGTTTGTGGAGAGCACGTCTTTCGGATTGGAATAAACAGAGAGAAGATTCGGATCCAGAAGTCTGCAAATTCAGATGCAATGGAGCTCATTTTCGATCGTCCCTTTTCTCACTTTTCTTTCGTTAAGAAGATCCGATCGTGCGATCACTTGTTGTTCTGGACGCCTCATCGGGTCAACGAGAACTACAGCAATACACTTCTGAAGAATTTGAGGTCGGTGAATGAATTGCTCCTGAGTTGGAGCCCTGGAGCCTCGAGGTTCCTGGCCTTCACGGCAAAAGAACTCCTGGAGGGATTCTTCTCAAATTTTCAGGCATTGATCAAGAGTGAGGCAAAACTGAATATCTACTGCAGTGACAGTACTTTCAATGATCAAGTGATCAAAGATCGGATCGGGAATTTTATGGTGGGACCTCAACTCAAGGATTGCGAGAAGATTTCGTTTGACTGTCGTTCTGATGATTCAGTTCGCTTTTGCTGCAACGCCTTGTCGAAGGCTGAAATCAAAAACGTTGCTATGCGTACTTTGTCACGGCGTTGCATTGTTTTGCTTATTCAACAGATCATCACCAATGGAATCCCGAGCAAGCACCCTGAGGCTGCTATTTTCCTTGATTATAACTTTGACTTCAAGATAGATCTCTCACAATATCCAGGAATGCGACGAATCGATGGAGAGAATCGTTTTCGACTTCTCAAACAGGCGAACGATCTTGCGAGGAATTTTGGATATTCTGGTTCTCTTGGTTTTGATTGCTTCAGGGAAGAAAGTTCAATTTTCCGTCGACGCTTTGATTCAACCAGGGACTGCATCTGCGTGTACGTCGAAAGATATGCGCGTCGCTTCTTGGCCTTCTACGTCCCCGTCAATTAAAATGATTAAAATCACTCTTGGATGATTCATTGTATATTTTTGTAGCTTTCTATCATTGTTTTCATTTTTTTAATTGACAGATTATTGGTCTTTTATCTGCTATATTTTGTTGCTTTTCAATTATTTAAAATAAAGTTTTAAAATCTATTGTGAGATTGAAAGGAAAGGAGTTGATATAATCCCTACTTTTTAGATGTCTGATTGGCTGTGAAAGTGTCGGTGCGTTCGAAGTTGTGAAATTTTTAAGGAAATTTCTCATGATCTTTTTCTCAATGTTTTTGCTCGGTGAAAGCTGTAATTTGGGAATTTTTGCCCTTGAGAACCTCCCAAATCTGGATTTTATTATAAAAAACAAGCTGCGAGAAACTAAAATGAAAACAAGCCTTAAAAATTGGAATTTAGAAGAATTCGGGAAAAATTCGTGAAGCTCACACGGAAAATTAGAGAAATTAAACGATTTGCGTTGATTTGTGGGGTTTGGAGAAGTTGTCATCGGTTGCGGCACACTTTTGCTATTTATAAGAGTCGGGACACTCGCTAGATCGCCGATTGTCGGTGGGTTTGGAAAAAATGCAATGAAAATTCCGATATATCGATTTCGCTAGAAGACTTCCCATATCTAAAGGTTTTTTCTCGACGTTCAAATCGACAACTATTGGATATAATAAGTCACTTTCCGTTTTTGGTTGAGGGTCGAGAGAAAAATGTTGAGTTTTTTTCATTGAAAAATCGCGCTTTCTTCAAATTTTGCGCGGCCATTTGTTTTCCTTTCGAAACAGAGGCCATCTGAAAAGTTTATTTAGCTATGGATTCTGATAAAGAGTAGGCTATTTCTAGAAAACCTTCATTTGGTATCGTCGAATTGTCCCAATTGGAACTTCTACTTAAGCATTGTCATATTTGTGGAAACTTCCCGATGGACGGAGCAAAGGAAAAGCTCGGAATGTCAATTGAACTGCTAATGGAACTAAACTAAAAGAATGAAAGAAATTTCAAATGCTTCCTTTTCATACCCACCAAAGGAGCACGCTTTAGGCAGCACCAACGACTACGGTAGAATATGCACAAAACATTCACTCAAGGATTACATGTCAAAATTCTACATCTGTATCAAACTTTGGTTTCATTAATCAAGAAGACATGCAATTCAACAAGAAAGTAGGAAATCGGTTCCGTTTGGCACCAAGAACTCGACAAAATCTTTAAACTCATTGTCACAGTAAAGGATAACAAGAAATCGAGAAAAGAAGATATTCAGCTGTAAATTTGTACCCGGGGGTTTTCAGTAGGTCGGGGAATGGAGGATTGGCTTGGGGATTGGAGCTATTCATTCTTTTAGGTCTATGAATTGGAGCTTGGATTCAATTTATCAAAACTTTTAGATAAATTCGGAAACTTATTAGCCCTTTTTGAAGAGAAGATTAGCATCTTCCAAATGATATATAATAAGCATAAGTCCATCTATATTACTACGTCTACCTGCCACTGCGACTTCATATTTACGATATTTGATGGATTTCTAGTTATTCAGATCAGAGTTCATTCCTTTAGATAACGCATAAAAATATGCAGCAATAGAACAATAACAATTAGTAACTAGCCAGCTACGATCTTAGGCTTGGATTGTCTTCATAAGTCTTTCAGAAGCAGAAGATGCAGATTCATTCGTCATTTAAATCATTCAAAACGGAGACTTTCTTTGATAAATTTCTCGATACATAATTAGTATCTTTGACCATTAAAATTAGTCGTTTTTTGTTCAAAAACTATCAAATTAGTTCTAAAAGTTACACCTCTATCCACATCAAAAAACAAAAAAATTTGTGGTCAAGTGTTGCTAGAGGCAGCCAACAAATTTTCAGACATTTAAAAAAATTTAAGTTTTTTGGCTGAAAGATGGCTGAGGAAAAGTCGGACAGACCGAAGGACGGACAGATAATGGTTTTTTATATATAGTAGATCATTGAGATGTCTCACGAAACTTAAAATTAAACTTTATACATTTTTTTGAAAATCTCAGGTTAAAAGGGACCTAAATCTATAGTTCAACACCTGCTAACATGTACGTGAGGTTCTTCATTTCCTCTTTTTGTCTAACAGCCATGAGGAATAGAGAATGCAAAGTGACGACCAGTCAAGGTCATTCGTATTGATTCGACCAAGGATTCAATTCGACTCATTCAAAAACCCCCAAAAATTTGAGACATTTATCATAACCTTGCAGAAATGTTTATGGAGTCAAAAATGGGTACAATTAAATGGGCAAGCTTTGATCCTTTGACTTGATGTTGAGAAAGAAGGCAAAGAAGGTCATCGTGATGGAGACAATCTGAAAAAGATTAAAATTCTAGTTAGGTCTAGTTAGATCTGTCTGGCGTCAAGGTGTTCTTTGTGCGCCGGAGTAATCGCCCTCCATCTGACGCACCCCTTTCCCTGATATACTTCCCTTTCCTCGTTGTTCCATCTCTGGTTCGTCTGCAATTGACCGAGAAAATCTTTCGCCTTTTACTAAAGATTTCCGTGCAGACGAACAATTATGAGTATTACTCAATTTTTGGAAGTCCCCTTGAAAAAGCGGGACAAAAATCATACCTAATTTGTCTGAGCAAGTCCTATGACAAGAATCCCTTATTGCTACTTACTGTTAAACTTTGTTAACGGCTTTGTAACAAGTGTGAATCCCCATAAAGATATCCCAAGATCCGGCTGGTCCAAGTGCCTCGCCAATGTGTGAGCCATCTAGGTTTTGATTCATTACTTTGTCAATGGAAACCCAACTTTGTTCACACTCTTATCATAAGGGACCCATGCATTTTGGTTCATACAGAACAGAGATTTTGATTTGCAAAGCTGAACTTTCGGTATGACAAAAGCATAAATCTGAGTTTTTAGATTTTTAGCTTTGAGCATCAGCTTTGTCAGCGTTAAACTTTACTCACCCTAAAAATATTATCAACTTCTTTGATCATCCCGTAAATTTTCGTATTCAAACATATCAGTTCTTCGAGTTTTCTTCTCATTCCACTCAATGAGCCGTTGAGCTAAATGTTTTTGTACAGCTACTATCATCCAATACCTGTGTTAACTTGAAGTTGAATTTCTTGACTTCAAAATGGAGAACATTTGTGAGACAAAGATAAATATGCATATCTAAAAATGTTTGTAGATTCAGGATTTGGACTGGCTTACTGTAATTGATGATTGTGAGAAAGATATAGGCAATACAGGGGCGAATGTATCGAAGTTCTCGATAGTAGAAGCTCTGAAAATTTTTCAAATTAGACATAAATTTACCCATCCAATCTGTCATGAACGGTTCTTTATCAAAAATGGGTAAATACTTTAACTGCTCACATGAGACAGGGACGGTAGCATGACTGTTTCCAAAGAATTTGTCGCCATCGACATCAAAAACATCACCGCGTTCACTGTACAATAGATCTGAAAACAATCACTAACATTTGTACCTAAAATATTCCAAAGTTCTACCTGAATGCCCAAAAATTGCCATCGAATTTTTTTATTTGTCGTCACATAACCCTAGAAGTACTCGGTTAAGGAATTGGGGCTCCTCTCCCCACCGTATCAAAAGTATCCATGTCTCGAATCTTACAATGATGAAGTTGATGGAAGAATCTCTCAAAGCATAAGTTTCGTTGCCAATAGGTTGAGAGTAACTAAAAGAGCCTGTTTCTCACAAAATTACAAGATCACCAATGAGATCAATGCTTGACAAATGACGGCGATTGATATTGCCACATGGGAAGCGTATTTCATTTGAAAGTCGATTAGGAGGAAGAAGAGATCGTAGAACATCATGTAGATTCCTAAGCGAGTAGATTCAGTTGTGTATCCAAAAACAATATGTTAAACTTACTTCAAATTTTCATTTTCGTTCAAGGAAAAATCCAAAGCATACTGATGGACCTATCTAGAGCTGGACTAGGACTAGCTTTTCAGGCTCTAACCTGGAGAACCAACTCTGCTTAGCACATTAGATTTACATTCGAGAAGATCGACATGAGAAAAATCCAACCCGAACCTAATTCCACTTTCATCCTCTCACCTGCTTCTTGGTGGAAGTAGAAGATATTGTAAATAAAGTGAATTATAAAGTTATATCATTACCTATTACAACCATGAACGTTATCCACAAATTCTGTAGTTGTACTCGTGCTGATGAAGAATTTATTCGAGACAAAAAGCCGCTCCATTTAAGCACCTTAACAAGTTTAGGAACACGTTTTTCGTTCAAGATTTACAATCTGAAACTCGTAGAATTGTCTTTGAGCCAAATCGGTGAGATCTCGATCCAGTAGATTACATCCATCAGCAGCAAGGTTTACATTTTGTTCGGGTAAAGATTTGATTGAATTTTTAGAATTTAGAAGACTATCAGCAGAGCAAGTTGCCTAAATTTCTAATTTACCAGAAAATTGTATTGTTCACCTCATTATAGGAAGCTCTTCGTACTTGGATCTCCATTTTAAGTAATATATGTAGCTTTAATGCTCAAACAATGTAGCCAAACATTGTAATTCATACAGAGAAGGGCTTTCAATTTAGAGAGCTAAACATTAAGCCTTCTGAAACAAATTCAAAGGGACGTCCAACCTCGGCATGAATCTTTGATGGATACATAATTGCATAGTACTCGAGCATACAAAAAGCGATAGTCGATAGCGATAGCGATAGAATGCTAGAAACGAGGATTTTGAACTCTTACATTAAAATGCCTGAAAAAGTTCTAAAATAAAACACTTTTCAAAAATTCAAAAAAGCCATTTTGTAGATTAAGGATAGGGCTTCTGAATTAAGCAAACCGTTTTTTTGATTGGATAAGCCGTTATTTCAGAAAACACATTACCAAAAAACGATCGTTTATAACTTGACAACGTAATAGTGTTGAATAAAAAGTAGTCAGCATCACGATAGCTTTCGAAAGGTGCTGCTTTTAGAAAACGTACTATTTAAGACAAAAAGTTCAAAAACATCAAGACAACTCCCACGCCGACTGGGTAGAAAATCCGAGTCTTGCTTTTTTTTCTGCGATCAAAAGTCTGAAATCTTTTACGACCATTATTTTGGGCAAAAACATGATAAATTAAAGGCCAAACGGGCAACATGAAATAAAAAGTGCAAATCATACCAAGTAGAGTCAGTTATTGAAGTTGAAGAACCATTGTGCCAGCAGAAATGTCAGAAACAAATGATGGCCAACAAAGCAATTCGACTTTCTTTTATTTGACGCTTAAATGCAAATTTAGCGTTTTTCAGACGCTTTTGCGCCAAACATGCAAAATTTTCAACGTGGCGGTTTTTAATTTTTGAATTCATTGTTGAATTTAAACTGAGCCATCGGACCGAGCTAACTCGCCACTTCCACTACTATGTAGTTCAGTGCAGGTCTTTTTTTCAGCCAAATAAAGTCCGAAACGTGGGGGATATGTTTGAGTCGTGTGCCAGGTCGCGTTTTTTCCTACGAAGTTTTTTCCTAAGGGGCTGCCACGCAGAGAATCGAAAAAACCGACATATTTTCTCGAGAAATTGCATAACTTTTTTGTTTTTCAACTTTTTTGCAATCTCTCTTCGAAGGTTGAAAGAGGCAGTCATTGCGCATCTTTTGAGCCCAAAAACCCGAAAATCGGCTTTATGGAAAAAAGTTTGGAAAAGAAAAGAAAAAAGAAGTTGGGCAGTCAGTCAAAATGACACGTTCACTGCCTTCTCTGCGGCGGAGTGGGCGTCGGCGGTGCCCATTTTAACGAGAATTTTAGGACTTGAGAACTTTTTCACCGGGCTTTTCGAATAGCCCTTAATTCGTTGGTTGGTTGGTTTCATTGGATTCCTCATGAAATTTGGCTAGAGAAATGTCCACTTTAGAAGATATTTTGCTCAGAGGGAGTCGAGATCTAATGCAAAGGGCAAAACCGGGTCCCTTAGGTATGGAGCCTTAACAAAAATGACGCCGTTTTGCCCTTTGCCTTAGATCTCGACTCCCTCTGAACAAAATATCTTCTAAATTGGACATTTCTCTAGCCAAATTTCATGAGGAATCCAATGAAACCAACCCTAAGTCGATCCGACCTCTAGGAGCTGAGATATAGGGCAAGGGGGGAAACGTCGTCATTTTTGTTAAGGCTGCTAACAAAGGTGACGACGTTTCCCCCTTTGCCCTATATCTCGACTTCTCCTAAACAAGTATCTCTTGTAAATTGGACATTTCTTAAGCCAAATTTGATGAGGAATCCAATGACACATAGCACAAGTCGATCCGACCTCTAGGAGCTGAGATTTAAGGCAATGACAATTATTCCTTTTCATGGCTGAAACATTATTATTTTGTTTCAAATGGTAGTAATAACTATCATTGGAAACGTGGCTCGTCGAAAAGAAAAGAAATATCTTGATTTCTTTCTGGAGAAAACTAAAATAGATTGCCTGGTGGGAAACATTCAGATCAGTTTTACACTTAAGCGAACTGAAAAGAAGCCAAATACGCTTCACATCGATTTAGTGACGCAGTAGCATTCAAATTTCGACGTCATCAGCCGGCTCCTGTTGTGATCGATCCATCTCCTTCTTCTTAGCTTTACAAACTTTATAAACAGATATTAGTGTGTGAAAAAGAGCGTGCATTGTCCTGAAGACATCAGAGCACCTTGTGATTGCGAGCAAAACACTAAGAGAGCCTGAGCTAACAATCAGGAGTTCAGCAGCCAATGATTTGAAGAGTGTTTTTGCAAGCTGGGACAACCGAACCTTGAACTCAGACGCTGATAAAAAGATCAAATAAAACAAAAAAAATTGGGGTCTAGTCAGAATCACCTTGCTATAATCATCTGTTCCGTCGATTGATCATCGAGGAAAGTTGTCATTTTTCTCGATGAAATTGACGAAGTCTTTTCGATTGAGAAGTTTCTACAGGGTTACCCTAAATTCTGGAACAACTTTTTGTAAGAGCCGCTAGCAAATGTCTAATTGTTTAACTAGCAATTTCAGAAGTGCTAAGTGTTATATAGAGGTTTGTAGCCCGAAATCTTGGCTACTTATCTACTAACTCAAAAACTTGTTACATCAGTTATGTGTTACATCATCAGTTAATTCGAAAGCTTTGGCTCTGTGAATGCAGCCAAGATTCCGGGCTTCAAATTGCTATATAACTCTTAACACTTTTGAAATAAGTTAGATAGATAAGTTATGTTTTTTGTTTTTTACTTATCAAAAACGTTCTGACGCGAATTCTCAGCAAATTTCAAGATATTCGGTTAAGACAGGCAATAAAACAAAAAAAAAATCAAATAAAACTCATCATTTTCAAGAAATTGTTAAAAATGAACGTTTGTTTGAACGCGCCTAAAGATCTAATATTCCCTGGGTTCGCTCAGGAATTGCTACTTCCCGATGATCAATTTGACTTGCTTGGCACACCAAATTCAGCTCATAT